TAATTTTGTATTTTTAGTAGAGACAGGGTTTCTCCATGTTGGTCAGTCTGTTCCAAACTCCTGACCTCAGGTGATCCACCCGCCTCGGCCTCCCAAAGTATTGGCATTACAGGTGTGAGCCACCGTGCCCGGCAATTATTAGGTTATTAATCCACCCAGTTGTCCTTATCCAGCCTATATACTTCCATCTTCTCCACAAACGTATCATGCAAAGTTATCGAAAATCTTGGAGTTGAGGCTATTGTATTCTCATACTTGCCAATTTATAACAGCAACTAAAAAAATAAAAATATACTGGGAAATTTAGTAAACAATTTAAGGTTCTGATGAGCATTGTTTCTGTTTTTCAGCATTTTCCAAATAGACCCTCAAAAACTGTTGCTGGAATGTTGTACAGGATTGATAGCAGACATGCTTGTACAGTCTTTGCAAAATAAACTATACTCCCCTCTTGATGTTTGGAATAACTTTTCCCCATTTCTGTAGTCTAGACACCTTTGATAATGTCCATCATCTCTCAAAGGTCACAAACAATGGTCCAGTCCTCTCATTTGCAAATTGGTATCTGGGGCTGTCATTCATGTAGATTAGGAAACCTGGGCTCACTGAGAGCAGTTAGGACTCCCTGATGTTCGTTCCTCCCCTAACTAGTGTTTGTTCTCTCTGGTTAGTCTGAAGATCATTCCCTTTGCCAAAAAAGAAATACTGAATGCCCAAGCACCTAAGTTTCCATGGCACCTATAAAATACTGGAAGCTGACAGTATTTCTGATTGAATAGGTGATAGGAAAGGGGTAGGGACCAGACACTGGAAAGGACTAGAGAGAAAGAAATAAAACTGTTTCTCTTTTCGGATGACATCAATGACTGTGTACGTAGTAAAGCTTTGTCTGCTAGATCCAACATCTGGATTAGTTCCGAGTTTGTTTTTATTGACCGCTTTTTTCCTTGAGTAACATTTTCCTGCTACTTTGCAGGTTGCACTGATTATTTTTGCTTTGTAAAACAAAACAAAACAACTACCCCAAAGCTTAATGGTTTAAAACAACAACCGTTTTATGGGTTCTAATAGATTCTGTGGGTCAGGAAATTTGGAGAGGGCACAATAAGTATTGTTTGTCTCTGTTCCGTGGCTGGAAAGACCAGAAAGTGGTGACTCGATTCTTGGTGGAATTACATGGACGTTCCTTTACTAGCATGTCTGATGCCAGGGTTAGGATGATTTGATATCTAGGCCCACTGGCTTTACTACCAACATGTGGCTTGGCTTTCTCACACCATTGGCCTGAGTGGTCTGACTGACCATCTCCCAAAATGCCTCACATCCCAACACTGTTGCACTGGGGATTAAGTTTCTGACACGTGAATTTTGGGGGACACATCCAGACTATAGCATCCACCGAGAATCAAGGGGAAAAGACAGAGACTCTGCCTCTTGATGGGAAGTGTGTCAAAGAATTGGCAACCATTTCTCAAAACCGCCATATTGTCCAGAGATTTTTCATTATTATATCTTGGCTATCACTGATGACACATTGTAGAAACTCTGGATTCTGTTATTTTCCTCTGAACTGTGTTGATTTTTGTTCCAGTAGGCAATTCAATGACCTGTTAACCATCTTGAACTTTAGAAGGCTTGGTTTTATGCTCTACTAGGTAAATCTGTGGATAGATCAGTTCCTGTGACTTTCTAAATGCAGCCTCAAAACTCTGTCTCCTCTGCTCATCTTGATAGGGATTGATTTCATGCTTTATTGGGTAGATCTCACTCTGGGACATGACCCTTATTTCTAAGCAATGACCTTAGGATGTTCATGGTGTTAATAAAATATTAACAACATCTCTCCTCTCTCCTCCCCCAGTGTCCTGCAACACTGCTTTGCCTCTACTGTCTCTGTTTCAACCTCATAGCAGTGGTTCTCTGGCAGGCTTTAGGAAGTCTCACTCTGAGCATGTACCACTTGGCCAAAGACTCCCACACAGACTTCTGCCCCTCCTCTCCACTTACCAATTCCCTCTTCGGTGACCTGTCCTGCAAATTCCAGCCACTTCAGCTACCCCAAGCTCTGATCTCTCCCTTCTATGCTTAGCGAGACCCCTGTGCTCTGCTTGGACTTCAGCTCATTGCACCATGGGGAACTGTCCCCAGGCAGACAGTTGTAGGACTCACCATGGGAATTTCCCCTCTCTCAAGGATAGCAGTCTTGCACTCTCTGTTGTCCGCTACCTGACAATAGCTGCATATTTTCTTTATTCCTGGGATGCAAGGTGGTTTAACATATGCATAGTAATAAATATGATTCACCACATAAGCAGAATTAAAAGCAAAAACCATATGATCATCTCAATCGATGCAGAAAAAGCTTTCAATAAAATCCAACA